AGTTACCGGGGCCATTATTACCTGCAGTCAAACTTGGGTGGGTCTCTATCAAAAGGAGTTGTTACGGCTTGCAGTGTATTTCAACAGTTATATTCATGGGTGTGTGAGCCATTAACGGAGCTAGGACTCCCATCTCTTCATCATCCTGGCTATGTAGTATGTACCAATGGAGCTAGGACTCGGATCTCTTGAGCTTCATGTGGGACCGGTGTGTACCGGTGGAGCTAGGCCCCCGTCGCTGACCAGTGTGTTTTTATCTGCGGACTTCGTCTCTTGATCGATCGTCTGCCTGGCACAGATAATGTGAGATTCTATCCGGCGAAGGGAGTTATGGGTGAATTTGAAGGATCAATGGAGCACGAGAAGGACAAGCCAGCGGAGGTGGATGAGGTGGCAGAGAAATCTAGCAAGACGCGGAGGAAGCCTATGACGGTCCGCGACGAAAGTTTGGATAAGCTCGAGGAAGCGCACAATCAAATCCACCCTCCGCCCGAGGAACTGGCGAAGAAAGTCGGCGGATTGGACAAGGAAGGGCGCGCGGAAGGCGTGATGGGAGAATATCAGCCATAGGATTAAAAAAAAGACTGAAGGGACGACACAGTGATTAGTCGTAGTAGTAGTAGTAGACACAATGTTGTCGTGGCCGCAACATGAGAAGGTGGCCAGCTCTTTGACGACGGTATCGATCGTCGTAGTTGTTGTTGCTGTAGGAGTCGACCGAGCAAGCCTCGAGTAGACACACAGGACTTGTTAACAGAATGTCATGGCCTCGAGCAGGGCTGGTACTTTCTTCGAACTTTTGCCTGGTGTTTACTATATATGTTGATATGCAGTAGTTTTTTTTTTTTTTTTTTTTTTTTTTTCAAGAATAGCCGTTGTGTAAAACCCTCTATCCCGGCAGTGGTAAGAGAACAGTCAGGATCGAGGGTTTCTCGGTCAGGCTGCTCGCATCTATTGGTGGGGAGCGGCATCTGCACTAGTTGGTGTTGTAGTAGGACTTGTTAACAGAATGTTATGGCCGCGAGCAGGACTGGTATTTTCGCCGAACTTTCACCGAATTTTCACCATGTTGAGAATACTTGATATGCACTAGCTAAGTGCATATGCTGAAAGTTCCCGACCAAATGTAGCAGCGGCATGAAAATGACATATGTATTATTACCTGAGAAGATGCCCCCCATTAAACTGCCACCGCCAGTATATTGCACAGCTGAA